TGTACGCTGCCAGTCCAGCACCACACAGTGGACAGACAAAGTCAGCAGCTGATAAACATAGTGGAACATTTAGCAGCCAAAGAGTCAGATATTTATCTCAGGACTTGGTGGAGACCAAAACAGAGCCAAAAGAAGTGTTCATATCGGACTTACATTAATAGGCCCTGATGTTCTCCAAAAATGAACATGGAGTTGGAAAGCGGCAATGCACACAATTCTGTTTGTTTAACATCAGATGCATGAATAGGTGTACATGTCAAACATCTATATTTGACCTTTTAGGCTGCTCTCATAGCAATGGGCAAATTACCTTTTTTTGCCGCATGAGCCTTCATGGCTATGCAGCAGTGATGCATTTTGATCTTAATTTGCCAGCCATAATAACGGTTTAGGATTATAATAAGGGAGACAAGGGGAAATTGTAACATTGGGCAATTGTAACATATTAAATTCCTCCTATCAGAAACGACCTAGATTGACTCTGCACATGCTCAGTAGGATTATCTGCCTATGAAAAAAGGAGCAGATCATTTTACCGTGGCAGAAACTTTCACCCAAAAATGAATTTGAGGTATGAAAGTTACTTTTTGGATGTACAGTATTTTTCTTCTACATTCTAAAGTTTAGATGATTGCGAATTGAATCTGATTTGATCTCTAAATGAACATGAACAATATATGCTAGCTGTTAGAGAGCACCAGATCAGGGGCAGCTTGATGAAGAAAGCTCAAATGTGATAGTAGCTGTAAGAGCCATATGAGACTTAGTAAGATGTCTTAAGTGATTCATGTAACAAAAATGTGGAAATGCTCCTTTAGTTGCGCTACTGACTACGTCACAGCCAACAGCACTCAGTTGAGGTTCATCAGTCTGCGGAGCAAGACATTTTTTGACCGTTGTGCCAACGCTGTGACAAGTTGAGCACAGAATGTTTCTTGTAACTTTATTTTGTTGAGTAAACCTTTTTAAATGAAGCTACTGCCTCTGAAGAATCATTACGCGTCAAGCTTATTGCCAAACACAGACTGTAACAGTTGTGGTAACGTGGACTATCGGACAGAGGGAAGATTGCCGCTACAGTAACGATGACGATAAAGAATCTTTAACCTTAACATTTTAACTGATAAACTCCTTGCAGAAACTGTTCTCAAGACCCGCATCTCACTAAGTGGTTAAACTTTCAATTTACCACGTGCCTCGATAGACTCACAACAGATAAGACACACAACAACTGGGCTTCAATCTGAACACTCAAACTCAGACTTAAGGTTTTGATGCAAAATAACATGTAGTCCTTTGACATGTGGGTTTTGGACCTTCTATTGAACTCTCTCCAATAGACTGATTTCTTGAGGTATAATCCATATCTGATTAAGTTATGTTTCTATTTTGGTCGATTACAATTTATATGACTTAAATACTCTTACTAATAAAACCAATACTTTATATTAATCATGGCAAGATCCTTATTTTCACATATGCATCTTCTACGTCCCCAGAGATCTTAAACAGAAATTGGAATGCACACTAATGCCATATCCCAGTTATCCTTCTATTTTGGATATATATTTGTATTCTAGCTTAGTGTAAATAATTGATCTTTGTAAACCATTCACAATTTACTCTTTTAACTGTTAACACATTTTGTTTGCATTTGTTCTAGCCTTTGTTTGGCAGTCATATAAAATTCATCTAAGGTTACTGACTAAAATGTGCCTTTATACATAAAGCTTGAGGTTTACCAAATCTCAAAACTTGAAAATATCTGAGTTCATATATAAGATTAAGCATTCTTGCAGATTTAATAAAAATGTTTATCTAAATGTAAAATATATTAATAACTAAAGTATTAATCATAAACCCATGAATTAGTATAAAAAGGGTGATGCCGCTCAGCTTCAGCCTTCAGACACAGTAAGGTTGGGTAACAGAATCTAACATTACATCACATTTAGGACGGCAATAATAGGGAAAGCTTTGTTGTTAATCAATTAAGTCTCAATCGCTACGGAGTTGTTGTCATTGTGTACGATGACTTATTGTTTCATATCCACACAAATCAAATAATCAAGTTCTTTATATATGAAATATTTATTGCACTGAATACATGACTACATTACTAAACAGAAAATAAAAAAGTAAAACCAACAAGGCCCAGTGTAGCCACCTTGCTTATTTATGTTGAAGTTCACTAAATTTAAATGTAAAAAAATTACATTTGATAAGAAATTAAAATACATCAATAAAATACTTTTTTTGTATAAAATACTGTCTTATATTTGTTCATACTATATATATATATATTTATTTTATCAAAATACACTGTTCAAAAAAATAAAGGGAACACTTAAGCAACACATCCTAGATCTGAATGAATGAAATAGTCTTATTAAATACTGCTACCACTAGAGTGAAAGCACCGCCAGCATTCAAAAGTGACCAAAACTTCAGCCAGAAAGCATAGGCACTGAGAAGTGGTCTGTGGTCACCACCTGCAGAACCACTCCTTTATTGTGGGTGTCTGTCTTGCTAATTGCCTATTATTTCCACCTGTTGTCTATTCCATTTGCACAACAGCATGTGAAATTGATTGTCAGTGTTGCTTCCTAAGTGGGCAGTTTGATTTCACAGAAGTGTGATTGACTTGGAGTTACATTGTGTTGTTTAAGTGTTCCCTTTATTTTTTTTGAGCAGTGTATGATTTGTGTAGTTCAAGTCTTTGAGTTATGAAGAAAAATGTAAAATACGATACATGGTCACATGCCTTCTGGAGTTTTTCTGGAGATCTTGTAGATCTGTGGATTGTTAAACTTGATGAACAGAGCTCACAGTGTTTAGCTGAGGGGGATGCCTCGTTGGTGCCTCGCTGTGGGGAACGCTCACATGCACTAACATGCACTAACAGACCAGACTAACGGCCAGCTATGGGAACAAAGAGAGCAGAAGCTTTGATAACAACACACACAGAGGGCTCAGGGAGATGGTACTCCACTTTATCTTTGCATTGAAAATATCGTTTGATGCTATATCCAATGTTCAACATTTTAAATACTGCTCCTTTAAATTAAGGTATATTGTGTTTCCAGCTTGTCCTCGATATACTTTTATAAAATTACAGTCTTAGATTATAAATCCAGTGCCTATACTCACTTGATTTAACACCCTCCAGGATTTTTTCAAATAAAAATTCACTCCTAATCATATACCTTTGTAGTGCCTTGTTGTTGTACATGCTACAGTAGTTTAGCTAAACAAATAAGGATTAAAAGCAAATGTTTCTGTTCACTCTGGGTTATGTGCGTCATTCTTAACAAAATGCCTGTGTGCACTCTAAACTTTTATTTATAGTCTAAAGTTGTTTCCTGCATTTAATCAGTCTATATGCAGTATATAAGCACCTTAGGCTTAATGGCTAATGGAAATAAAAAGGTAGGGCAAATTATCTTTTCAAAACATACATTGCTAACAAAATTTTGTTCCCATCTTTTTGAATTCATATTATATTGATGTACATAGGTCACTCACCATTGAGCCTACTCACACGGCAGCCATAATAGCAAGCAGAAATATGTTCCAGTGTCAAGTGTTACAGCACTCTTATGTCAATTAACTGCGCAATGAAGCGAGAAGTTACAGGTATGAGCCCATTCATTGGGAAAATCCTAATCATGTTCTTTGTTTTGTCGATGGCCATGAGTTGACTTTGAAAGTTTGTCTTGACATGAAAGCAGTCATTCAGTAGATTTGTTAATGCTTCCTTGCGTACTTCATTAACATTGTCACATCTAAAAAGACTACTGACTTGTGAGCTTTTTTGCTCTGGGGCTCAAATTGTAAGACGACCATGCATCACGTTCTTGTCTTTCTTGTATGTTTGCCACTCTGAACATGGATTGATTTCAATCTGTTCATGTTTTGCTTTGTCTGTTTGAGGGGCTAAATGTGAAACTAACATAATGGTTCTTAACAAGGGAGCGATTCTTACTGGTTGGGCCAGAACAGATAATTTTGTTAAAGTTACTATGAGGAACTTTCAATTTGTGTTGATTTTTAAAAGTGCTAGTGTTTCCGGGCACCAGAGTCCGTGTAGAAAACCTCTCATTTTACTGCAGCAGAGGTCTGATAGTCTTCAGTCAATCCTGGTTCTGGTTCTCCCGTGCCTCCCTTTCCTCCAGCGGGCTGGTATAGATGTCATGTGTACAGAATGAACAACATAACAGAGTTACACATTCAATGCATATGACATAAATGATTCATATAATCTACTATAACTACTAGTGATAACAGCAAAGGTGGATATAGTAGAATAACAATGATAACAAAAGCAGTAATGGTATCAGCACTAGCAAGCAATGCGACTACTAATAATAAAGACAGTAGCAGTGGGTGTCAGCAGGGCCCTGGCAGGAGGCTGGACCATGGTCCAGATATAACCACGATCCATGGAAACCTGTGAGGTGAAATGTATTTACTTGGCAGATATAGTTCATAAATCTAGATTTAAATATCAAAACATTGTTATAGATTAACGTACCCAATAGTATATAAAGCAGTCACAGTGAATCAACCAGCTCACTGTAAAATGCCACTTATGAATTATTGCCATTATTTGCCAATATGTAAATATACTTAAATGTGGGTCTTTTGAGTCCTTATGCCTGAGGGTAGCATGTGTTGTATCTGATTTGTGACTGTGGCATAACCCCAAAACATTTACATCTAGGTATTGATGTAGCATATGAACATCATTTCTAGGAAACAATATATCCATATCCATATATTGTGTGTCTGTGTTTTCCATCGGTGGACGTGTCTCACGGTAAGATAGGACCACCGTTTTAAATTGGACTTCATTCCTCTCATGAATTACCTGTCCCCTGGATCACTCTGTCCACGGGCCTAAAGTCATTTAGTGCTTCTCAGCAAGTTATGAATTAGAGGCAATATGGTTATGTTGAGGTATCTTTACTTTGTCTTTAACTCTTTTTTTTTCTTCTTAGTTTCTCAGATGGTCATTGAAGAGGTCAATGTTATTCAGCAGAACCTGGAGATCGAGAGGACATGTAGAGAAAGTGCTGAAGCCCTGGCCTCCAAGGTACACTTTTACTGTCAACTGCTCAGTATTATAACCAATGTGTTCTATCTGTGCTACTTACATTTCTTAAGTAAATGAAGTCCAATAAAACAAGCTAACAACCAAGATAATTGTCTCATTAAATTAAAACAAGAGAGGAATAATGGAATCAGAACTGTAGGATCTGTTGATTTAGAACACATTTGGCTGAATAATAATGACACTACAGAATCAAATCTGCTTTTTAAGACACTCTGGTCAGTGTAGTCCAGGAACTGTCACTTTGACACACAATCAAAAGGACTCTGTGGTCCTCCAGTTCTGCTCCTGTCCCCGTATGTTCGTGGATTCTTTGGATTCAGAGCACACTTTTTGGGAGTCCTTGCTAAAATGCGAGTTGTGATTGAGAGTGGGAGAGCCTGGCACATAGTGATTTTGCAGCCCACTGGTGTCGAGCTTATCACTGTAATCATTTCTCATTCAATTTTTGGACAAAGCCCTCACAGTCCCCCTGGTTGGACCAGATTTTGGCCAGTGGGAAGGAGGCTGATGGAGAATTATGGTGAAGGTCAACTTTTAGGCCTATTTTCTTAGCGCTCCCCGGCCTTCAGCCTGTTGAGATGTCTGGCTTTTAAAAACTGTATATTTGGGCTCTCAAGACACTCCCAATACCAGCTTAACATTTAAACTCACAAATAACAAATGTCAGTACTGCTATTATTATTCCACTATTCAGCATGGTGATATTCTAGATGTTTGTGTTGAATCTCTGTTGTAATCCTGTAGTTTATTTTCTGCATTGAAAAGACTAGTGCAGTGCTCGTTGATCGCATGTCTGTTCAGAACAGGCTGATCACTGCTGATCCTCTGGTCCTCAGCAAAACACCTGACATGTCATAGATGAGTCACGGCTCCTCACGGTCACAAACACCAGAGAATACACTCCGGTTCAGAGAAAATCACCAGGGGACACTTTACTGTTCGGGAAGGTAGCAACCTGGTCCAGGGGCCCCAAAGATATAGATGTATTCTGATATGAAAAATATTGAAACTTATTGTACCTTAAAATAACTTACAAAAGCCCCCCAAAGCACGTAAGAAATATACTGTACAACTTAACTGAAGACTACTGTGTACTTCTACTTACGAGGAAACCATTGTAGTACTACATGTACCTGACAGAAATGTTACTGGTTACGTCGCAGATTCAGATTTGACTCAAATATGACAATTCAACAATTAAATTCAAATATGATACATTGTTATTCATTAAACCATTCAGGATTATTTTAGAATTGAAAGCTTCAACTTGAACAGATATTAAATTAATTTAAATACAATGGGCGTCAAGAACCACCATGTGTCTGCTGTGATCCAAAGTGAGTTCTTCACTAATGGATTGTAATCATTACTTTGAAGCAATTTGCATTAGACAATCCTATATGAATCACACTTCATTTATGTTGACAAATTGACTCTGCAATTTGAATTATTAGCATAATTCCAAATTGGCCATTGATGCTGTTGTATAACGCTACAATGTCAATATGAACATCTGAAGCTGCAATATAACTTAAATGATGCACTAATTGAAGATGAATTTATCTCTGTATGTAATATGGCCAGTGAGAAGTGTAACCAGGAATGTCATGGCTGGTTTGTTTTGTGATACTGTCGCAGTTCAGCTCTGCACCCTCCTCACTCTACTTGTCAGCCACTCCCTCCTCATCAGTCCAACTCTCGTCACCTGTTCACTCACCTGTCTCTGATCACTAATCGAGCCACTATATAGACTCCTGCCTCCCAGACACACATTGCCAGATTGTTCTTTGCTTTTCGATGCCAGACTCTCCAGCACTCGATCACAAACTGATCTCCTGTTGCCGACCCTGCCTGCCCCTGTTCTACCTGTCTCGCCTGACTCCCGGTAAACCCACCAGCCTTCTGTTCCTGACTCTGATTAACTCTGCCTGCTGTACCTGCAAGTTTGTAATAAAAGCCAACCATCCCTGGAATCTTGTGTTGCATTTGGGTCCATATACAACTATTACAATCTGGCCAGTCATGGACCCAGCACACACCCCTGCACCATGGAGCCGTTTCGAGAGGATCGAGGGGGCTCTCCAGCAGCATGAGGCGCTGATGACCAACATCGCCGCTGAGACACGTCAGTCAGCAGCAGCCCAGGAGCGGGCTTTGGCTGCGTTAGCCGCTCAGGTCCAACATCTAACAGCAGTCTTGACCCAGCATGCAGTCTCAGCTGCTCCTCCTCCTGTCCCTCTGACGCCCACTCCAGCACACAAGCCCCATGTGGGAACCCCAGAGCGCTATGCTGGAGAACCTGAGTGCTTCAGCCCATTCGTCACAAACTGCTCCATCTTGTTTTCCCTACAGCCCTACACGTTTGCTTCGGAGGAGGCTAAGGTAGCCTTCACCATCAACCACCTGACAGGCAGGGCACGACTGTGGGGCACCGCTGAATGGGAGAGGCGCACGCCAGCCTGCTCTTCCTTCCTGGCTTTTTCTGCGGAGCTACGCAAGGTGTTCGGGACGGTCTCCAAGGGCCCTGATCCTACCGGGGGACTTATGGATCTTAATGGATCAGGGAGACCGGACAGTTGCAGACTATGCCATTGAGTTTCACACGAGAGCACGCCTTAGCGACTGAAACTCTGCAGTTAAGTGTATATATACTCAGCTTTTGACAAGCTGAGTATATTAAAGATGAACTGGTTTCTTTTGATTTGCCTTCCGACCTGGATGGCTTAGCTGAACTGACTTCCCGAGTGGACAGACGCATCCAGGCAAGGCGACAGGAGCGACGCAAGGGGGTGATAGATCGCCACTCTTCCAGCCGGCCTCGAGGTCCTCCAGCAGCTACCAGTGTCACCCTAGGGCCTCAACCTGGGGGCGTTGAACCCATGCAGGTGGCGCACCAGTCTCACTCCAGAGGTGCGTGAGTGCTGCCGCCGGGGAAATCTCTGCCTGTGCTGTGGCCAGGCTGGTCACTTTATATCCCTGTGCCCAGCAAAAGGCACGGCTCATCAGTAGTAGGGGAGGTACTGGTGAGCCGAACCACAAGACTCTTCCCCCAACCAAAGACCCCTGTGCCACGTTCAGCTTCTGCTCTCAAATGGATCCCACACCCTCACTACTTTCATTGACTCTGGCCCTGACGATAGCATCATTGATGAGGACCTAGCCCTTCAGCTGGGTATCGACCGGGTACCCCTGCCATGCCCTGGATGGTCACCTACTGGGGACAGTGACTCACCAGACCAGTCCGTATGCTCCTGTTTGGTAACCACCATGAGACCATCTGGTTTCTTATCCTACGGTCACCTCAGCATCCATTATTCCTGGGGTACCCCTGGCTCCGCCGCCATAACCCCCACATAGACTGGGCAACAGGAACCATTCTGGGGTGGAGCTCATCCTGTCACCTGATTTTTCTGAAACAAGCTCCTGCACCGCAGCAGTCAGACTGTCCAGCTCTGCTTCAGACCTTTCAGGGGTGCCTACTGAATACCATGACTATCGGGAGGTATTCAGTAAGGCCAAGGCCTCATCTCTGCCTCCACATCGCCCCTATGATTGTGCCATTGACCTGCAACCAAGCACCACTCCACCCAGGGGTCGCCTGTATCCCTTATCTGCACCTGAAAAAGAGGCCATGGAGGCGTACATAAATTCCTCTCTAGCTGCTGGGATCATCCATCCCTCTTCTTCACCTGCTGGTGCGGGGTTCTTCTTCGTGGGGGTCACTGAGGCCTTGCATTGACTACAGGGGCCTCAACGACATTACCATTAAGAACCGCTTCCCACTCATCTCTTCTGCCTTTGAGTTGCTGCGGGGAGCTAGCTACCATCTTCACAAAGCTAGACCTGCGCAACGTCTATCACTTGGTCCAGATCCGAGAGGGTGACGAGTGGAAGACGGCTTTCAACACCCCCACTGGACATTACGAGTACCTGGTTATGCCCTTCGGCCTCACCAATGCCCCAGCCGTCTTCCAGGCCCTGGAGAATGATGTGCTGAGAGACATGTTAAACAGTGTTGGGAACGTAAAGGAGCGTGTTTGGTTATCAGCAAATATGAAACTAAACTATCAACATCAATGGAGTTATTAACATCAATAAGTTAATTACTAATAAGAACGGGGCACCACCCTGCGGACAGGGACCAATAACCAAACTATAAACTAAGTCTCATAATTAGTGTTCACTCACGATATTAACAGTCTGAATACTATTACACGTTTGGAGTGAGAGTGAAGGTTTGAGTTCGAGCACAGGCCACTACATCCAATTATTATTACACACATATGCACAAGTAATCACAGATAACTGCTCTTTAAAATATAACAGAGTTTATTAAATCAAAATAATAAATGATCAAATCAAGTAATATCAAAACCAACAAACACTATCATACACTTATGTCTAATACCTAAAGAGTCAAATGAATAAAGTGGGGTAAGGATATGTATATAGATATATGTACATGTATATGTGTGTGTGCGCGTGTGTGTGTGTGTGTGTGTGTGGAGACGAGGGGGGGGCACCTACTCAAACAACGAGGGGGGGTGTGAGCCTACAAGCAAAGATGGTGGACTCTAGAGACCTACGACAAAATGGCTGAGAGGTGGCTACGTGTAACCACGTGGGATGGCGCACCATGTGGGTTGGGACAATAGATTATGCAACCACGAGTCTGAGAGGTTCACCCAAAATCAATGACTCTAACTATGTGTGTATGTGTTACTAGGGAGGGAGAGAGAGAGAGGGGGGGAGAGAGAGAAGGAAAACCTAGCTCTGACTGTGCTCGGCGCTGCAGTGAGAATGTGAGAAACAGCTGAGCTATCCGCACAACTCTGCGGTCAGATTCTGAACCGACCGGCCACGCTTATACGGTGATAGTTGCGGTTCTAAATCTCACTCACAGAGCCGATTTAAAGACGAGAGAATAAAACCAAAACAAAATAAAAGAATCCCCAAAACAGAACAGATCTTTATCACTGCGGTGAGATGCGAGTATTGCTTCCCCATCACCCCGAAACTCGGTCGGCGAGACGAGTGTCGGCCACCGTGGTTTTAGCTCTTGAAGTAATAAGATCACAAACTCCACATCCCCTAGCAGTGATAGATCTAATGCAAACAGTTACAGCAGGAAATACACAATATAACGGGACTCCGTGGTCCGCGATGCTTGCGCAATAACACGTTATAACACGACAGTAACTTAACGCAACAAGATACAGGAATAACAACGACATAAACTAAATAGTCTAAATTAATAGTCCTAATAGTCTAAATTAAACTAATGCCCAGATACCAATGATACTCTTACTTTTAGAAGCTTCTTTCGGTAGGGTCGGTTTCCAGTGGTAGGAAATACTTGGTCCTCGAGTAGTCGGGGACTCTCGGTGGCGCGCGGCTGCGGAGCTGGCGCAGACGTGCCTCCTTGCTGCGGGGCTTGGTGAACTTTGGCTGAGAGGGACGGATATCGCTCATCAGTTACCGGGGAAAGAGAGTTAATCGTCCTTCTGCCGGCGGTGTGTACACAAAAGGGTGGGGGAACGGGTCATAGAAGTTATCCGTTCTCGCACTACAGGATCCAAAACTCAAAATAACAACACAGTCTGTGATTCGACCAGCGAATGTAACATTTGGTGAGGCAAGCTCTTCCTTGTGGATCTTCTAGTACCAGGACGAAGCCGGAGTGAAGAGAGCATTCTAGCTGTGCTCCGGCTTATAAACCAGGTAGTACAACCAGTGGGGGGCCCTTTCTTGGCCAATGAGGGACCAGCATCAGGTTTCTGCTGGAGCTGGGGGGTGTGGTCACCCTGCGTGAGGTTTCTCGCAGACCCCAGATCAGGCCTTTGTTGAAAGGAAGGAAACATGGATGCTCCTTTGTTTGAAAACATATGTGAGGGTCTTAGCCAGCCAGGAGGCGTCGTCAGATCCCAACAGGCAGGTATTCGTCTACCTGGACGACATTCTGATTTTCCCCAGGTCCCGAGAGGAGCACATTCACCATGTCCAAGCAGTCCTTCACCGCCTCCTTAAGAATTCTCTGTTCGTTAAGGCAGAGAAGTGTGAATTCCACTCATCTGTCTCCTTCCTGGGGTACATCGTGGGACAGGGGATCGTGCAGATGGATCCTTTCAAGGTGTCAGCTGTTACGGCCGTCACTTACTCACATAAACAGCTGCAACGATTCCTGGGGTTCGCTAACTTCTACCGGAGGTTCATCCGCGGCTATAGCACCGTAGCTGCCCCACTCACGGCCCTTACCTCATCCAAAGTGCTGTTCCAGTGGTCCCCCTCAGCTGAGGAGGCCTTTCAGAACCTTAAGGCCCGGTTTACTTCTGCCCCTATCCTCCAAGTCCCTGACCCAGAGAGATAGTTTGTTGTGGAAGTGGATGCCTCCGATGTTGGGGTGGGAGCCATCCTATCCCAGCGATCTGCCAACAACCAGAAGCTCCACCCCTGCGCCTTCTTTTCTAGGTGGCTCTCACCAGCTGAAAGGAACTATGACATTGGTAACCGAGAGCTGCTAGCTGTTAAGCTGGCCCTTGAAGAGTGGCGCCACTGGCTTGAGGGGACCAGTCTTCCCTTTTTGGTAGGGACTGATTACAAGAACCTTGAATACATTCAGTCCGCCAAAAGACTGAATTCTCGGCAAGCCAGATGGTCCCTGTTTTTTACCCGATTCAACTTTTCCCTCTGTATATATATATATATATATGTAACACGTTTGTCATATGCAGGTTTCCAAAGTGAATATAAAGTGAATGTTTTGCAACTGAACATAGAATCAAACATGATGAATTGTCATCACATTGAAATTTGGGAGGGAGATTATTTTGTGTCATTTCTTTTCCTACTGACTTCAGTAAAGACATAATGTATCAGGCTATGTCCACGGCACAGGGCCGCAAAGAGGCAGGAATAAACTAGCCCAGTCCTGGTCTGACAGCAGGAATTCATCTATTTGTTCTTAAGAATATACGGGTCAATATACAAGTCATTTATTGTGTTAATGTGTCCAACCATCCTATTTGTTCCTATTGCCTCCATGTAGTTGCACCATCGTATTTTTAAAGAAAATATAATGAATGAAATACTATACATTAAATATATACAGTGTGCGAATGACCCGTTAGCAATCTACCTAGTTCTCCAGTGTTGCATGCTGAAGTCCTAAGACTCAATTCATAATATAAGTCTGCAAGATTTAATAGATGCAACACAAGGCAATCAACTAGACCAGGGGTCTTCAATGTTTTTCAGGCCAAGGACCCCCAAACTGATAACTATAACTATAAAATTGTGTTTTATATTAAATGGGCCTAGTACCGTGTACCTCTTTATTGTGCATTCAATACTAAGCTATTCAAATAATACTCAGGTTCATATATTCATGTTTTTATTTTAAACATGTACAAGGTACAGTGAGTAGGGTGGCCGTACCACTGCCATTTATAAAGATACCTTGTCAGCTGATACCAATGCCAATATCAACATTGTCTGTCAATAGCATGATAATCATGCATACAAGCTATTCAAACTGATGTTTTCATTTTAAACATAAATGTGGAAACGAAAAATGAGTGATGGCCTATTAGTGCCACTGCCATGCATAAACATACCTGTTATCCTTCATACAAAACTGAACTATTAAAATAGTGGGCAGATTCATGTTTAGAGAATTTTTTATTTTTTTTAATTGTCTAATCAACCAAAAATTTCGCGGACCCCCTGTAGTACCTACGCGGACCCCCTAGGGGCCGCGGACCCCCTGTTGAAGACCTCTGAACTAGACTAAACATGCCTGGCACACACACCACCAAGTCACATGTGGGAACATGTGTGTCGCTGTACAGCCTTTCACCTAATGCACAGCAGGTCCATCGCAATAATTCAGCCGCAGCAAACAGGCCAGAGGTTGAAAAATATTCTATCTAATCTTAAAAAAGACTGGGTCACAGAGGCCCGATGTCGAAGCAGAAAAACATCCACTGCTTCTCAGGTTCTTCGGGGAAACACAACATTTGCATTGTGGATCATTTGCAACATTGGAACCAGGAACAACCAGGTGTTCAATGGTCATATGTGAGAGGAAAATGCCACGTTTTCTATCTTCATATTTATGAATAATTCCATTAAATTCAATTTAATTTATTTGTAAATTCCAAATTTGCCTCAGAGGCCGTTACAATCTGTACAGCATGAGTACAGTTTCAATACTGCAGGACATGGGAAGTTTTAAACATTTTTAGTGACCATATTGTTTTTTAACAATGTTTCCAGAGATCCCCCAAAATGTTGCTATTGAGGCTTTCAGGGCATCTCGAGTGTCAATCAAGGGTCTCAAACCCCCAAGACCATTACTCACACTATATACAATAGATGTTATAAAGCACTAACTACTACCATATATTATTTATTTTCTGTATTCAAAAAGGCATACTCCTAATACAGATATGGCCAATTATGGATATGGTATTACTCTCAGTCCGTGAATTGGAATAAAAAGGATGACATTACTCGACCATATTGAGTGTCAGTGCTGAATGATACAGTAAGTTACAGTACTCATTTCGACAGAAATGTATGTGAACATAGTCCCACTTGAAGCTCTCATGTTACTTAGACAGAAAAAGTCCCCTAGAGTAAGACAATCAGAAGAAAGACGTTTCTCAGAGTATCACAAATCACACCTTCCTTCTTTTTGATTGGTTCTGATTGTAAGCTGTTTATGGTGTGAGTGGCCAGGATATAGAAGTTAGTTCAGCATGTCTGTAGCTTACATTTAGTACTATGTCGATGAGTCAATGCTTTCTAAAGTGCTTCATGCGGCAATTAAAGATTTGTATTTCATTATTTTTGTATGATTAACCTTTAAAATGAATGGGATCATTGCCCCAAAATTGGCTCTGACAAGCCATGTGACATATTGTGCTTTGAGACGCGGATGAAAATATGCTGGTACTTTATAGCACAAAAGATTGAACATTTTATTTTGCAGGTAATGTGGACAACGTTGTCGGCAGCAATACCCGGAGTCAAGCAATAGCCTGTTCCCAACGCTGCTCTAGTGGGATTTCCTCCCCTTCCTCTGTCACATGCAGGCTCATTAGAGTATACCGCCCACGGCTTGAGAACTCCCTTTGCAAAATAGTTTGCCACAGAGTGCCATTGATCTGTGATATGCATGATATTCTTGACAATCACATATGAATGTCCTTCTTTGTTTCTCTTTGTGCCTCCTTACTGTAGTTGAACCGTCAGAAACGCTCTCTGAAGAGGAAGAGCATGATGCTGCTGCCCCACCTCAGCCCAGAGATCATCACTGAGATCAACCTTGATGAAGAGGAGGAGGGGAGTGAAGAGCTACATGCAGCCAGTCATTTCTGCCTCTCTCCCCTGTGCCAGACCACCATCTCAGGTACAAGTTGTCTCCAACTCCTCTCATTGGGATGTATATGTCCCATGAATACCAGCATGTCACCATAGCGCGAGCCACATAGAAACGGCAAACATATTAGTGGGATTGTTAGCATTATTCCAGTAACTAATGCTTGCAAAAGGTAACAGCCTGACTTTGACAGCGTAAGTCCGACCTGTCATTGTGTAGTATAGTGTAGTGTGAACATCAGCAAAGAGGCACCACTCAGATTTTACATGTCAGACATGGTCTTTCACATATCATAGGAGTGCTATAAGAATCAGAATCAGAATCAGAACCGTTTATTGCCATGTATGTTGAACATACAAGGAATTTGGCGTGACGGGAGGTGCAAACATTTAACAATCAACAACAATCAGTGCAAGTAGAAACATATTAAAATGTACAAGAGATATGAAATATGAAATAAAGATATAAAATAAATGAAATATAAAATAAAGATGAAATATAAAATAAAGTGAAATCTAAAATAAAGTGCACAAACGAACAGATAACAGGACTATAAACAACGAACAGACGACAGGACTATAAACAAGTGAGATGTAAGTGTAGTGTAAAGTGTCGAGTGTAATAGAAGGGATGCAGGGGAGTGACCGGTGGGAATTTGTCCTGGGGTGACATAATCAGTGGGGGACCCGGGCTCTGTTAATGAGCCCGACTCCGGACGGGAAGAAGCTGTTCGTGTGGCGTGAGGTCTTGGTCCTGATGGACCTCAGCCTCCTGCCAGATGGAAGGGGTACGAACAGTTCATGTCCAGGGTGAGAGGGGTCGGCTACAATCTTTCAGGGTGCTTGACGCGAACAAGTCCTGGAGGGACGGCAGATTGCAGCCAATCACCCTCTCGGCAGAGCGAATGATGCGCTGCAGCCTGCCCTTGAAATAATATAAAACAGATATATAATATGTCCTGCTATGTATACCTTAATAAAGTCCCTCTAGTAAACTACACATTCATAACAGAAACCCTGTCTTACAAACTTCAGGCAAGGCAAGTTCATTTAAATAGCACATTTCAACAAGGTCATTCAAAGAGCTTTACATAAAACTCATTACAAGTCTAAGAGAATAGAACATATTAAACAAGTTTAAAATAGAATAAGTAAAATACAAGAATAAAAGTTACGGTGTAAGAAATGATTTGATAAAAGGCAGCGGCACACAGAGGAGTGTTCAGCATGGATTTAAAAGAAGTGAGAGTTGCAGCTAACCTGCAGTTTTCTGGGAGTTTGTTCCAGATATGTGGAGCATAAAAACAGAATGCTGCTTGTCCATGTTTAGTTCTGACTCTGAGGACAGAAAGCACACCAGACCCGGACCAAGTGAGAGGATTGGATGGTTCATAGTGTAGCAGAAGATCAGAAATAAACCAGTCAGGAGTATTTTGATTATTTTAAAATGAATTGACACAAACTGACATCCTGCGTGGCCCTCCTGTCCACGACCCACACTACATACTCTGTCACTTGTTTACATTTATTAACTCAAATGTTGGGCCTTTGACCTTCTTCTGAAATATATAAATTTGACCTCATTAAGTCTAATGAAAAATATCATTGATAAATAAATCCATCCATTGAGTGCTGCAGGAATGATGTACACGCTGGTTCCCTCCACAAACAGCCAATGGGATTCTTCCATTAGATTCTGGATTATTGCAGAAGATGAGCTCTGTGGAAAACAAACGTTTATGATATTTAAATGTTTTGTTCAGAATGAAAATTCTCACAAGTGAACACCACTTTTATGATTTTTGAAGCTTGAATACAATCAGCAGAAGTAAAAACCTAACATCAGGCTATGAAGGAACTCCATCACGGTCACATGACTTCATGTCACCACCACTAAGCTAAAGGAGGACTAGTGAGGATGTTTAGTTGTCTCATTTAGACTCTTCAGCTTGTGTTAACCACAGACCTTATTTCAGGCTTCTGACCAAAAACACATTCAGAACACACACTGACTCAGAGGCGAAGGAACCTGACGTGCAAACATGTTGACTCACTTCTTGTTTTTAGGACTGCAGCAGTATATCAGTTGTGTGAAAAAGTGTTTGCCCCCTTCCTGATTTCTTATTTGTTTGCATGTTTGTCACACTTAAATGTTTCAGATCATCAAACAAATTTAAATATTAGACAAAGATAACATAAGTAAACACAAAATGCAGTTTTTAAATGAAGGTTTTTATTATTAAGGGGGGAAAAAAATCCAAACCTACATGGCCCTGTGTGAAAAAGTGATTGCCCCCCCCCCCCTGTTAAAACATAAATTAACTGTGGTTTATCACATCTTTGGAAAGCTGAGTTCAATTTCTCTAGCCACACCCAGGCCTGATTACTGCCACACCTGTTCTCAATCAAGAAATCACTTAAATAGGACCTGCCTGACAAAGTGAGGTAGACCAAAAGGTCCTCAAAAGCTAGACATCATGCTGCGATCCAAAGAAATTCAGGAACAAATGAGAAACAAAGTAATTGAGATCTATCAGTCTGGAAAAGGTTACAAAGCCATTTCTAAAGCTTTGGGACTCCAGCGAACCACAGTGAGAGCCATTATCCACAAATGGCGAAAACATGGAACAGTGGTGAACCTTCCCAGGAGTGGCCGGCCGACCAAAATTACCCCAAGAGCGCAGTGACGACTCATCCAAGAGGTCACAAAAGACCCCAGAACAACATCCAAAGAACTGCAGGCCTCACTTGCCTCAATTATCTTTGTCTAATATTTAAATTTGTTTGATGATCTGAAACATTTAAGTGTGACAAACATGCAAAAAAATAAGAAATCAGGAAGGGGGCAAACACTTTTTCACACAACTGTATGACCATAATGAGCAGGATTCTTTTCTTTTGAATTCTTTGGACATTTTGATTGAAGTGCAATACTTCCATGTTATCTATTTTTATAATAATAATATTTATGTATTTATAATTTCAATCAAAGTATATACTCTACATGCTAAATGTACCAAACTGCAGATATTGAAAGAATATCTACAATATGGTGGGCTGAAAAGTGTGAACTAGTAATTTTGCAAACTGCTAAACTGTGCGTTTCATCTGCACAACGCAAGTAACCAATAACTACATTGAGTATGTTCAGTGAGTCTTAAAGTGTCTTAAGAACAGTCAACTATTTTCAGCTGCCTCTGGGAAATGTCATGGTCGACCAGCAATTATACCTCAGGTGATAATGGATTCACACTTCATGACGCTGTTCCCATCATGTTATTCAAGACTGTAGGCATTATAAAGGAGTGATAATCATGCCATTTGCAAATGATATACTATGATGTAGAAGATGTACAGAAAGACATTGACTTGCTCAAAGAGTTTTGGCTGATTTCGTGGAACATTCACAGTTGCATGTTGGACAGCTGGTCAACTCACTTCCTGCCAGGGAACAAAGAGGATACTCTCACTCTACAAGTTTACACTTTTATCAGACTAGTGCAGTTTGACTAGTGCGGGCTGAATGTTCGGCCTGTGGTGCTGCTGCTTATGGCTTATACAAACAACTTCACAGTTACTGGAATTTAACGTTCAGCAAGGTAGTCAACCTGGGTCTGGGGCCCCAAACAGTTATAGATTTATTATAATGTTTGGTTATGAAAAATACTGAAAGATCTTACTATTCTTACTCATTGTACCCCAAAATAACTTACTACTACTTCAGGGGAAAACATTGTAGTACTACTTTTACCTGACAGAGAAATGTTACTGGTTCCGTTGCAGATTCACATTTGACTCAACAATTTAAATATGATGCATTATCATTTATTAAACTGCCCAGCGTCATATTGGAATTGAAAGCTCCACCTTCAACACAAGTTCAGTAAATCTAAATTCATCGTGCTTATAATGCCTCTCTGTCACTCTTTACTTGAACTAAACATTTGAATGCAGAGCTTTTACTGTGTGGTATCAATATCAATAGTTGTATCAATAATACTTCTATCGCTGTCAATACCAACATTCAAAGTTAGAGGGAGGGTGTAAAGTAAAGCAGGGCAGCGTAAAATCACAAAATCCCCCTAAAAAACCCAGCCAGTGTGAAGCAGATCAGATGAGCAGTTCTTGACAGTCAGACAAAGATTCCTTGTTTTATAGTTACATAAAGGTCTCAGCTGGGTGTGATCACGGAACATCTGTTGTCATTTCTGAGCTGAGCATATCACAGGTGGGGTCCTGCCATCATCCATACTGTTCATCTGTTCAGACATTTCTTTTTCTTTGTGAGAATCCTTCACAATACTCAGCAAAGGGCATCCCCCCCTCAAAAAAAACAATTTCAGATGTCAGCGACCTTTTCCTGCTAAGCACCCTCATAAATGTCCCAGTCTGGTCCTGCTGTGAGCTGCTTATAGTTACAGATTTAAACTCTGTCTAATTTCAGAAAATTTCAGGACAAAAGTGTTTCTCAAATTTCCTGTGCAAAGAAATTCATTTTATGCAGTTAAAACATAAAGCAATAACAATACAGTCTGATGGCGAAGCGTTGTTTGATTCCTCAGTATATTACATTTAATTTGGCAAACACATATCACAAAGCAATAAATTAATGGCTAATGCAGCATATTGTCCTGTGTTCTGGGTTTTCTCTTTTTTTCTGGGGTAAAAGGATGTAAACTATTCCCAATCTAAAAGCAACACAAACGAAAGTTACGAATGTAACTACGGTTCTATGAATCCTGGATGACTGCCAGAGGCAGTGCTTAACACTGGATATCTTCTGTCTCACGCATGCGTAGGTCGAATATTTATATCAACAAAGTCACCTGTGACCTCGGATGACCCCCGTCGTCTATAAGTTCCGGTGTCATCCTGAGTTCAGTCCTATGGAATCTTCTCGCGAGTTCACGGGATTCCAAGTGACCAAGAACTCTGGCGGTCATCCAGGATTCATAGAACCGTAATTACATTCGTAACTTTCATTCTATTTCATCCTTACTGACCGCCAGAGACAGTGCTTTACACTGGATG